GCTGAGTGGCTGACTGAGACTGCACTTGAACCCAGGGCCTTCCCACTGAGCTACATGTCCAGCTCTATTATTATTATTATTATTATTATTATTATTATTATTATCATCATCATTACTTTTAAATTTTGAAGCAAAGTCTTGCTAAGTTGCCCAGGCTGGGCTTGAACTTGCTATCCTCCTACCTCAGCTTCCCAGAGAGCAGGGGTTACCAGGCATGTGCCACCACACCTGGCTACCATCTACTATCCTGAGTCTGATCGTCTTGTCAGGAAAACGGTCCTTAGAGTGCTCATTTACAGAACCCAGTACTGTCATATCCTCAGGCTGAAAATTTTGGGGCTTTTTTAAGGAGTGCCGTTGTCAGAGAGGCTAGGGCTAACTGATGACAGACAGGTCTGTGGTGCAGACTGTACGTAGATCTCTATTTATTTTGTTCTTTGCCCTTCTATTTATTTTTGGTCTGCGTATTTTGTACAAGGGCTAATGAGCGTAAAAGGAAAACGGGCAGCGAAACCCCTTCACTGAGCCAAGGGGCATTTTTGGTTACCTGCTAAGCTGCATAAACAGTGCTGCAGTCCAGCCGCCTGTGTGAGCAGGGCAGGCGCGTGTGAGTTGTCCATTCTGAAGCCTAACTGGAAGGTGCTTCTCTTTTTATGCCCAGTGCTTAAAACACAACTAGAATCACCATTTCCCTGGCATGTACAACGTATTGAGGTCATGAAGGACTCCTCGAGGAACTCCAGAACAGCCACTCCTGGGGTACTGACTTATCACATGTCCATGTGCACCTCACCAGGGGCCAGAGCAGTGCCAGGACTCCTTGATTCCCCAGCTGGGCCTTTCTGGGCAAGAGCAAGGGCCCTGTTACCCAAGGTTTACTAAAACATCAACAACATTGACAACAACAAAAAATAAAACAAAAAAATGAAAATATGCAAAAATGCAGGCATCTAGCATGTTTACAAAGCACAGATTTCTTACCCTAGAATAATCAAAGCCTGTCATCGATTTGACTGATCCTGCCTCTGGCTGGGCTCATGGCTTCAGATTTCTGGTCGACCTCATCACCATTCCTCCATCACATCATTCTGCTCCTTGGTCTTCTCTTTTGGGAGCTTCCAGCCTGGCCAGACTCCTGCTTTTGTAGGTTCTCCAAGCCTCTGAGGCCTCTGAGCTAAGCAACAGTATTCTGGTGGTGAAGAAAACCCTTTCCCCATGGGGTCTCTAGTTTTCTCCCTGGGCCACCCAGTGGCCCCCATCTCTCCCCCAGCCACATGCAGGGTGCATGGACCCTCAGCTGTCACTCCACTCTCAGGCAGCAACCCAGGCAGCAGACACCAGCCCCATCCCGGGGGGTGGCACGGAGGCCTCCCTACTCTCTGCTTCCTCCTCCCCTCCAGCCAGCGCCACTGAGAACCACCTGTTTTGTGTTTTGAAAGCCTGAAGGCACCCCATCCTCCACCCTCAAGGACCTCCCACTGAGTTCCAGTTTCTATCTAAAGTCCACATTGGAGTTCTTGACTCATGTGAAGAATATTTTTAAAAAGTCACATACCCTGAACTTGCTTGCATACTCCAGTCCTTTCTTCCTGGCTGGGGTGGCAGCAGGACTAGCGGTCTTGTAAAGTCCCAGGCCTGGCAGCCCCCAGCTGTGGTTGTCAGGCTTCTCAGAGATCAGAGCACCTGCAAAAGTCAGAGTTATTTCCATGGGACTCCACATAACCCCTTGGTCCCTGCAAACATGCTAGAAACCATTTTATAATAAAAAACTATGACCCTGTTATGTCACACATTATAAAATCACAACCACAAGTAAACAGGTTCAGACATCCACACATGCAAAAGGAAACTACCTGCCTGGCAATTTCTAAGTGCTCTGGTGATACTAATGTGTTCAGTATCTTTTTAAACCTTCTGCCAGCATTTGCTACTAGGCAACTAGGTTCAGGTATCCAAGGTTGGAGAAGAACTTTTGGAAGATCAAAAAGTTTAAAGTTACTAAGCTCTCCCAAAGTAGGAAGCAGAATAATGGCCTCTCCAAGATGTGCATTTCCTAATAAGGGGTAGGGGGTCTGTGAAGATGATACCTGAGGTGGCAAGGAGGTCTCTGCAGAGGCGGTGAGGTTAAGGTTCCTAAGATGGAGAGATTTCCTGGAATATCTGGATCACATGCGTCTTTGCAGTGAAAGAGTTAGGAGAGATTGAGACAGAGAGAGATGTGAAGACGCCAGATCGCTGGTTTTGAAAATAAAGGGAGAGGCTGTCTGCTAAAGAATTCAGGAAACCTCTAGGAACTGGAAAAGTCAAAAGAATGAATTCTCCCAAGCCTCCAGCTGGAATGAGGCCCTGCCAACATCTTGATTTTAATCCTGTGAGACCTATTTCAGACTTCTCCAGCACTGTGATATAAAAAAATACTCATTATTTTAAGCCACTACATTCTTGGTAATTTATTACAACAATGGAAATCAATATTCTCCATGAACTTAACTGTGTGAGAAAAGAACACCTTTTTTTCGGATTTTATGGGAATGCTCCAGAACAACAAGAAGAATAAAACAGTGTTCTCAGTCATCTTTTTTTTCAAAAGCTGCCATTTGTCATGTCTCCCACCACTTTCACTAAGCCAGGACCATTTTTTTTTTTTTTTTTTGGTTTTTCTCCGGTACCAGGAATCGAACTCACGACCTTGCGCTTGCCAGGCAGGCACTTTGCTGCTGAGCTAAATCCCCAGCCCCATAAGTCAGGACCATTGACACCATTAGATAGACACCAGGAAACTTCTGAGAGAGGTATTGTTTGTATGCCCTCCTGAAGGAGGAGGAAACAGAGGCTCAGAATTTTTCAGTAAATTCCTCAAAGCCGTACATTTGTGGCTGATAAGTGGAGAAAAAAGACACCAATCTGATTTTGGCTAATTCCAAAGCCTTTGCCATTTCTTCCGACATATCTCTATGCCCTTCTAACAGGTTCTTCAGCCGCACCCAGACCCACCCAGGGGAGCTCTGACTCACACAAGACTGCCTTCTGTGGGGATTCCTCCATTGAAAATGGCTGGTCACAGTCACCACTGCTGCTTGGAAAGCTCCTCTTGGTGCCAGAAAAAGGTTCATGTGGAAAGTTCCTAAGCCAGTAGTTTCACTACAATTCTCTGTTTGCTAACTGGATTTAGGTGCACCTGTCCCTGAATTAGCCCATGAATCCATCCTCTGTGCAGACGGAGCCCAGGCACCAAGCACTGTGCAGTCTTCACCATGGCTGCTGTGGGCTGAGTGCTTGTGTGTGTCTGGGAGGCTGACCCAGACACGGAGAGGACCTGTCACAGTGCCCGAGTGCCACTTCCAAAAGAGCCCAGCATGGGCAAACCTCACTCATGACACTGTGTGCTGACAAAGACTTCAGACGAGTTCTCAGCTGGATTTCAGGGTGGCCAGGGTCCAAGTGTGCCCAGGACTGTGCAGGGGAGGGTTCTTAGGAAGCAGGATTTTGGCATGCTAAACTCAGGAAAGACCCAGGCATCTTGATAGGGATCTGCACTCCATGGAAAAAACTCAGGGCTGAGTAGCAGTGCCTAGGCATTAGAGGACTGGGGGCAGGGGTGAATCTGTGCATGTATGTGTGAGTTGTGTAAATATGTGCAAACATGGGTGTGAGAGAGTACCTAGGGGGTCCATGGGTTTGTGTGCACAAAAGCATATACATGGATGAATACAAAGTGCACAAATGTGCATGTGTGGGGGAGTTTGTGTGTGTCTGTGAGACAATGTGCTAAGTGAATAAGTGTGAGAGTTGTACATTACAGTGTGGGAGTGTGTGCGTGTGTGCACATATATGCCAGTGGAGGGTGCGTGCATGCATGTGTGTGTGTGTGTGTGTGTGTGTGTGTGTGTGTGTGTGTGTGTGTGCATGCGCTCAAAGGCACTCTGGGGAGAGCAAGCTTTCACATCCCAGCACCCTACTGCAGTGGCTCTAAATATCAACGGCACATGCCACCCACGCTGGCCCTGAGACTTGCCAAAGAGCAGCTCTGAGGAAAGTTTACCCTGCTAGTTCATTGAACTCAGGAGTAGAGATTGTACATTTATTTTGCTCTATGACAATATAATTAGCTTCCCCTCTGGTGAGGAATGAAAGGGCAGTGTGCTCCTGACAGCTGTGGGAGCTGCCTTCCTGCCCCGATAAATCTAGTCTTCACGATACCTTTACACCTGTTTAAACAAGGAACAGGATAGGTATTTATTTGAAGTTCAAGAGGCCATAGGAACCCTGGTTTAAACCTAGGCCTGGATATAATTAGAAAGATACTTAATTCTTTGTTCTGAAAGATGTTGCAGCCCACAGTTTCCTCAAAGCTTGGGCAGTTGGCTTAAGTTCCCAGAATGTGTCCCTCCCAGAATGGGGAAAGGCAGGGCGAGGACGCGTCCTCAAGGGTGGGGTAAGGAGCCAGGGCAGCAGGTCCCCAGGGTGTCGACTTCCAGACCTTGCTAATCACAGAAGCCTGAGCCCCAGGAGGACTCCCTGGCCCTCCAGCCAGGCCTTCCCAGACTAGGACAAGGACCTCGTTACCCTTTCTTCATTTAAAGTTTCACAACATTTCAACACCACACGCACAACCACACAACAACAGTTGTACAACTTACAAAAATATGAATTTTTAGCTCCACATCAGCAAGTGGCCTGGTGCAGTACCCAAGATAAGGGGTAACAGGAACCTCTGTCAGTTTATCTTTGGGACTGCAGCTCACCTCACTTGCCGATTGAGTTGAAAGCCAAACTGGAAGCTCTGTGTGAAAGTGGGGTTGGGACAAACAGCTCCTGAGACCCTGCATTTCTCTGTGGGTGACAGACCTGCCTGCGAAGGGCCGGATCCCTTCGGGTCCAGAGTGGAGGGGTCCTGCGACCCCGCTGACATGTCCTGCTCTGCCCTGTAGGGGGAGCCGCTGCAGGTCTGAGTCCCCGCAGGGCGCTGGGCAGAGGCCTCAGTGCGGGAGAACCCGGAAGCCGAGACCAGCAGCGAGGGACTGCACACGGCCAGATGCCAGTACAGTCTGTACGAGGCCCAGGAGGCAGATCCGGGGAAGCACGACTCTCCAGCCCGCGGGGCCCGGCCAAGAGAGAGAGGGCCAAGCAGGAGGCAGGGAGTCTGCGCCCTGGGCATCTCACGGAGCCGGTGGCCGTGTGCCCCGGGAGCTGGCACGTCATCAGTCTCTGATCTGAGAGGTATTCATATTCTGGGGAGCGCCCGCTGTTTTCAGCCAGAGAGATCCCTCCTTTTGCTCTGCCCAGGATACGACATCCTAATGGGAGACATGGGTTCTTAAAATAGACAAGGAGGGGCTGGGGATTTAGCTCAGTGGCACAGCGCCTGCCTGGCAAGCGCAAGGTCGTGAGTTCGGTTCCCGGTACCGGAAAAAAATAAATAAATAAAATAAAATAAAATAAAATAGACAAGGAGTTCCAGCAACTCCAGGCCAAGGGGTCTGGCAGATGTACGGAGGATGTTTTACCTAAACACTTAAACGTGTGAAAGTTGAAAATGATAAGTCAAGCCAAGGGTGAATCTGTAATGTTACATGTCAGTGGAGTAGGGGATGGGCCAGCTGGGACGGACTTTGCCTTTCAGGACCAGCGGGAGTGAACATACCAGAAATCTGGCGGGGAAGAAGGCGGGGTGTGGAATCAGATACTCCCCTCTGCGGTCCGGCTGCTTGCTGTGTATCTCAGAAATGCACATTGCCACTGTCTGGGAGGAACACGATTTCTTAGGCAAATAAAGTCGTTTCCTATTTCTGAATGTAATTTCTTTGCATAACAATGAATTTACTAAACAGAGCCAGAAATTATTACAAGACCCTATAACCCATTTTTAAAACAATCAAAAACATACTGTAAATCTACATGGAACCACTTTTAAAGAACAATGGCATCATGAAGGTACACTTAGCTCTATTCTTGTGTAAAAGGAAGCTTGTTATTTTCATTAATTCATTACTGGACTTCAGTAATGAAACTTAATTACTGGACTTCATTCTCTGTTTTGCATGAAGTCCCTTAATCCTTGGAAGGATGACATTTCAATTATATGCTTTTGTATTCACTGGTGAAAAGAAGCAAAATCCAACCCGTCTCCTCTGAAGCAACTCAAAAAAAAATGATGCAGTCATCTTCAGTTCTCTTTCATTGTAAGTTTTGTTCAGAAATGAAAGGTCTGCTGGTGTCTGCTGCGATCTTTGTGACAGAGACACTGAGCACTTCTGGCATGTCGGGCCCGCGCTGAGCTGTGTACAGTCACAGGCCACTTAACTACAGGGCTAGTTCTGAGAGATGTGTCATTAGGCAATTTGATCACTGTGAAAACACCATAAAGCGCACTTATGCAGCCTAAATGGCACGGAGCAGTCACGCGACATGGCCTCTTGATACAATCAGGAGACAGGGTAAGCAGAAAATGTATAAGGCTGCTGCCAGCTTAACATGGCCTGTGCTTCACAGCTTTATTTTTCCTGGGCAGGAAAACACTCTGGAATAACTATAAAAAGTAGATAGTATGCTGGTATACATTAGCCAGTTACACAGTTGTTTATCACTTTGAAGTATTATATACTTTATATAATTATGCACCATACTTTTATACAACTGGCAGCACAATAAGATTATTATAACAACATCGCCCCAAACTTGTGAGTTATGCTTTGCACTACAACACTGTGATGGCTTCGATGTCACTGGGTGATAGGAATTTCCAGCTCCATTATAACCTTTCAGAACCACCTTACTGTAGTACATGTGGTCTACTATTGAGTGGAACATTGGTGTATGTGATTGTGTATTACTTCATTTAATCTGCAAAATAACACTTTGAGGTGGATTATTATTATACTGTTTATAAATGAAGAAACTGAGACAAAAGTATAGCACCTAAAATCATTAAGCCAGGAACTGGCAGACTAACACCGGAGTCCGGGCAGTCTGACTCCCACGCCCGCATTCGGAACTGCTGTGCTGGTTTCATCATTCACATATCCTGGTGAAAAAGAGCCACACTCCATCCTGTCTCCTCTAGACCAACTCAAAACACCTTTGGTTGCCTTCTGCTATCTTCCATGGTACATTTTGCTTAGAAATGAGCAGTATGCAGGAGTCTGTTGCATCCATAACAGCTACCCTGGGCTCCTTGAAATCGTCCCTGTCATTCCAGAACTCAGGAAACGTCCTTTGTGTGGCAGAGCACAAGGGTCTCTGAGCTGTAAGAATTTCTGCTGATTAAATCTCAATGTTTGCCCACATGTAACAGATTTTCTTTGTAGCGTGCGGGAGCTTTGAAGCCAATAAAGCCATTGCCTGGTATACAAGTGACAATCACATCAAGGCGTATGTAACTGGTAGGTCTCAGTTTTTTTTTTTTAGAGTCTGTTGATATTTTTTCATTAAATGTCCTTGAATGTCATACTGTGTATCAAATATAGGAATAATTGTTCATTTCAGGAGCTAGGACAGCCAGCTTACAACAAGAAAGTCAAGATGGAGCTTCTCTGATTGAAGGTGGCAAAAGCCTCCTAAAGCCTGGGGCCTAAGTAGGCTGACAAGAGCAATTTACTTACCGGGCGGCCTTAGCTCTCTTCCTCCAGAAGATTCATGCTGTCCTTCCTCTGTGCGTGATGTCTTCCATTTCTCAGACCCCTCGCAGTTGGACACAGGCATGGGAATAATTCTGTCCACTAAAACGGGGGTGGGAATGGCACACACTACTTCCGGGGTGAGGCAGTGAACACCTACGTGAGCTTTCCGAGCCTCTCTCCACTCCAGTTTCAGCCAGTGTGGAGGCCCTGAGTTGAAACAGGGGGCTGAACCACCTCATGGCAGACAGCTGCTACACATATAGGAGACTTGGGGTGAATGGAAAAAATAAGCATTTTTTGTATGAAGACATTGAAATTCAGGTGTTGTTTGTTATTGTAGCAAAACCTAACCTACCTTACCTAGTCTTCTAGGTGTCCTTTTCTTGTACAGGCAATTGACCACCCCCCTATATTTTTCAATAAAGAATTTTTTAAATCCCACTTTCTCCACCTCCCTATCATGAATTTGCCTTTGGGACCTAACAGACATGTGGATGTATGATGGTATACTCCTGGAATGTACATATTATTTGCCAAAACTCTTCTCGTCTGCCCTCTGCCACTTCTTTTTTAAGAAAATCTACAGAAAGACCCAAATAAGCATAGATACCCCAGCTCCTATCTATCCCCGATTCACAGTTTTTGAAACTTTTTCCCTTCTGCTTCAGAGCTTTTTCGATATACTAAATAAAGTGTTGTGGTCACAGTTGGAGTCCTGACCCAACTCTTACCACCTCCATGGGGCTGTTGGGCACACACATGCCCAGGCCCCATTCTCTGGAGTAACGGGAATAGGACTGTGGGGTATTCTCATGGATTACTTCTGTGCTTACACACACACACACACACACACACACACACACACACCATGGTGGTCCATATTTTTACTGTATGTACAGAATAGCTGAACTTGATTGACTCAGAATAAAATGCTGAGATTTGTCATGGGAAAATAGGATGAGATAGAACTGATATATGGAAAATAGATTTTTAGTTTTGCCTGATTATAGCCAGATAATTCTTGATGAGGTGGCCCAGCTTACACAGATGGCAGGTATTTCTAACGTGTTCATTCTGCACTCACGTCTTCACCCTGTGGCCTAAGACAGAGCCAGTTGTGTATCTGACCTTCGGGAAGTCTTCCTAGCTAACCACTCTTTCCCAGACAGTTGTATTTGTTGAAAAACACATATTCATTGAAAAAAAATTAACTCATTAAGGCATAAAGAACACAGTAGCAATTGCCCGAAATCCAACCATCCAGAGAAAACTATTAACATTTTGGTAAATAACCTTACAAACATTTCTGGCAGCAGTGGCTAAGTGTGTACAAGTGTGTGGGATTGTGCTATGCTCATCTATTGCCTGCCTTGTTGCCTGACAGTAAATGTTATGGACACCTTGAGACAATTTTCCGAAACCACAAGACCTCTCTGATTTCTTTGGCTTGGAGCAATGTCCAGGGTTAAAACCGAGAAGCAGGGAAAAGAGGCAGGCACTAGGGGGTGGGCCCAAGCTCTGTGTGATTTCCTCCTGGGAGGAGAGTGCTGCCACCCACTGCACATTCAGGTCACCGCAGAGAGGGCTGTGGAGTCAGAATTCAGTAAGGTCTCTCTCTGGCTTACTCCACTGCAGTCACTTCTCTGCCACCACCCGTCTTCTGCTGAGCTGCCCTCCCCGCACCCTCCATGGGCTGCAGAGTGAAAAGGATCTAAAGACACAGGAGACACGGGCCCCAGCCTCACCACCCATGTGGCAAGTATACGAAATATCTGCTGGTGTGGACGTTTGCTTTTCATCTCCCAGCTCAGGGAGCGGGGCAGTGGTGTCTTTCTGAAGCTGTCTGACTGTGTTGCTGTTATAGTCACTCCAGCTCATAGATGGGGATTTGAAAGGGGATTGGACAATGCGGGCACTATCATTGCTGTTACCCTACAAGGTAGGGCCTGGTCAAAAAGAGCAGGTGGCTGGAAGCATGGCCTCAGAGAGTGTATTTCCCTCCCTGGCAGCTCCCTTGTCTCTCTGCTTCCTGCCTACCATGAATTGAGCAGATTTCCTCCACCCAGGCCTTTCCACTATGCCATTTCTACTTGGGGCAATTAACCATGCAAGGACTGAAACTTATAAAACATAAGCCAAAGTCAACAAAGTCCACCTTTAAATTGCAGTGTCAGGTATTGTGTGGCAGCTATGAGGAAAGCAGAACAGGGACCAAGCACTCCAGCACACAAACCTTTGGGGGACAAACCTCAGCAGTAGTAAAGAAGGCATCCCCCAGGTCAAAGACATGACCTGTCTTCACCCCTGAGACTGTCTCACCCAGAGGGGACACGAGGACTCGGGAGGAAACATCCTATTTTTTTGGAAGCTATTTTTTTTTTTTTCAAGAAATAAAAGAATATGAAATTTCTTGAATTTGAAGTTGTGGCTTAAAGCAAAGAGTTGGTCACATGGTCAGGAGACCTGGGCAGCCACGCAGCCCTGGCCCCTGAGGAGAGCATGGGTTCCATATTGCTGGTGGATCTTGAATCTCTTCATAATTTTTAAACAAGGAGCCCCACATTTCCATTTTGCACTTATGTGTAAATTGTGTAGCCCATCCTACTACCATGCACGCTTCCTGGATCCTTTCGTGGCATAAGTTTGAAAATTTTTCGGTCTTTGGGGAAAATCCTCTCTGACAGAGCTTGAGCAGTTAATGAGAACATTAGCCATTGGCCAAGTCACATGTACCATGACTGCCTTGGTTTATTTATGCTATTATATTTGCATGATGATCCTTCACCAAAGGGGTTGTTACATACATCTTCTTTATGAAAATAGAGCCAAATGTAAATTTAATACAGCTTATGATGAAATGAAAGATGAAACCCATACTGGCCCACAGTATTATTAGCTGAGATGAAAAGGAGGCTGCTCATGGAACCATGTTTGGGTGGATTTCAGTGGAGAAGACGCCAGAACTACCAGGAGCTCTATGAGTCACAGCCCTCTGTCCCAGCCTCCTCTCAGTGACATATTCCTTCCCAGCACTGGCAGCTCAGAGCATTTCTCCTACAGAGTCAGCCCCTGCTTGTTCCTCAGCCTTTCTCTTGGAGAGATCTTCAGAAGTCATCAGTCTGGAACCTTTGTGTACATGTGAAACTGAACAGTTTGCTTTCAGATTGTCAGATCTGACATTTATGATGTCTTTGCTGTTTGTTCCTAGGTTCTTTGGGCTCATAAAGACTCTTTTTTACGGGAAGGACATTTTTTTCCCAAGGTTCTGGAACTTGCTCGCCTTCAGAGGTGCAGTGCATGCTGGCCACACACACACACACCCAAGGATGTCAAAGCCACAAACGTGACCAGGAGCCAGGAGCCTGAGGCTCATCCCCTCCCCTACTCAGTCTCCTCTATGCCCACAGCCACTCATGGTCCATTAGCTGCATTCTTCTTTCCCTGTCCTTCAGTACAGTCATCACACAGCCAGAGTCTGTGCCCAGATGCAGGACACAGGGGCTGCTGAGCAAGACAAGCCAGCTGCCCTTGCATCTTCAAGGAACTGCAACCAATAACAGTAGCTGGATTTGATTAAGTGCTTCTGGGTGTGCTTTCTAAGTGCCCTGCAGTAAGTGTGCACTACTTCTGTATCATCTTTTTAGAGGATAAGGAATAAGGATTGTCATAAGTGCTATAAATGTGTAAGATACCCCATGTATGAACCCACCTGTTAGCATTCCTTCAAAGTATTAAAGAAATAGCAACCTCCAATAGACGTCTGCTCCTCCTAGTACACAGGCAGCAAACATGCCCTCTGTAGGTTTGTCTCCATCTCCCCAGCTGGTAATATAGTATAATGGTTCCTACCTCTTAGGATTGTGTGTGTGTGGGCGGGTGTGTGGTTTGTGTTCTCAGCAGTGAGGATTGAATCAAGGGCTTTCAAACTGAGCTTTATCTCCAACCTTTTTTGTTTTAAGACAAGGTCTCACCAAGATGCTAAATTGCCCAGGCTGGGCTTGAACTTAAAAGCTTCCTGCTTCAGCCTCCCAGAATCCTGGGATTACAGGAGTGTGCCAGTGCAGCTGGCTCTTCTGAAGCTCCTTCTGAGGGTTCAGTGAGTGCCACGGGTACACATTCACCAAATGTTAGCTATTATTGTGGGTCCCGCTCTTTCTCTTTCCCTTGCCCTCTCCTTTCCCCTCCTCTTCTACAACACCACCACCAGCCCCGAGAACCTCACGGTAGGTCCTCAATTTAGGAACATTTGAGTTATGAACTTTCACAGGTGTACTGTGTTAAGATTCACTTTGGCAGCTTACAAACCAATCCAGCTTACAAACAGCTCTCCAAGTACTGAACGGGTTCATAAGTCAGGGACTTACTGTACTTGAACACTGCTGTCAGCCACCTGGGCTGAGACCAGCCAGGGTTTCTCAAGCTTTAAACAACCTGTGGAATTTATCAAACTGCAGGCCCTGCTTCAGAGGTCTGAGGTGGAGACTGCGATCCCACATTTCTAACAAGCTCCTGGCACACACTTTGAGACAGGAGAGTGCAGCTGAGTTAATGTCCTTTTGGGATTTCCAGGAAGAAAATGCCTTAGATGTGTTCACATGTAACCTGTCCTATGGGTTCTCCTCTCTCTTGGATAGAATTATGTCATAAGTAAACACGATCACCTATTTCAGTATGTAAGACCCTGCCCTCCTTCTGGAATATCAAGGCACTTGTCACAATACAAGGCCTCTCCACCCATAAAGAGCTTCTATTTGACATATCAGTTTACAAATACAAGCGGCCACACAGAGCCTATCCATACAGAGCCTATTCTCAGTGCTAAATGAGGACTGCAGACAACAAATGAAAGCAAGACTTTGAGCTCTATTTTAAATTCTGTAAGGAACTAAAGCCTAAATACTTACTTTGAAATATCGAGGATGAACATGTGCTCCAGATGTAGGGTTGCATTAATCAGCCTTAACTTTTAATGTGAGAGTCATGTCTGTCTGTATAAATACACACTCCCCCAGGATATGTGATGTCCCATGGTATTGTCAAGTTTTTCCCATTCCTCGTTAGGGGAGGAACCACAGGTTGAGATACAGAAGTCATCTGGAGCATAAATGCACAGGCTGGAGGCTGCACCCCACCACTGTGTAGGGAACATGTTTATCTCATTTGACTACATTTTGTGGGGTTTTCAATTCCTGCTTTACTCCATTTGAAGGTTATTATTTGCTATGGAAACAGTGATGTCAAGTTGATGTGGGTGGGGTGCAGGGCCTTGCAGAAACACAAAATCATTTATCCCCAAAAGTGCGAGTTATTATTAGGTTGAGTTGTTGCTGGCTGAAGGGGTCGAGCCTCCCAAGCCCTGTGTTTCAGATGGAACAGTCTGGCAGGCTGTGGG